CGCCGGAAAGCCGCCAATTGGCAAAAAGAGAAACCGCAAAGAAACCGTAAAACGAACCCCAGCCAGGCGTGCAATCTTTGACACTGAATGAACGAACGTAGCATGACATCACAACCATTCTGATCTTCCACGATGAACTCCTCCGGAAGCTTCAACCTGAATGAATGAACCTGAAAGAACCTAAATGAATGGACAAATCTTATTTAATTAATTTAAATGAAAATAGAGAAACGCAAAGAAGCCGACCGGTCGGCAAAGAAAAGAACCTCAAAGAAAGGTATCTATATAGGATTTATGCTCTATATAACTCTATATAACTCTATATAACTCTATATAACTCTATATAACTCTATATAACTCTATATAACTCTATATAACTCTATATAACTCTATATAACTCTATATAACTCTATATAACTCTATATAACTCTATATAACTCTATATAACTCTATATAACTCTATATAACTCTATATAACTCTATATAACTCTATATAACCATACATACCACCACATTCAATCAATAAAAATCCCACTAAAACCAGGAACCACCGCGTACCTGTTATATGTATGATGTGAAACAAATAAAAAAAAACAAAGCAAAAAACACACCACCAAGTAGAGTAAAAGAATAGAAGTCCCTAACCTACCTATGTAACTAAATTACCTTATGCCCCAGCCTACCTATATAATAAATTAATTTTTATCTCACCTACCTATGCTTCATTAACTTAACTTATGACTCATGAAGAAAGAGAAAAAGGAGTTTAACAGAACATAAAATACTACCACACAAACAAACATGATGTATGTATGTATGAGCAACCGCTAAAGAACCCACCTAAAATATAAAAAAAAACAAACCACAGGCATGCAAACTCTATATAACTCTAAAATAATAAAATAAATAAAAATAAAAAAATAAAATAAAATAAAATAAATGAGATCAGGCAGACTGCTTCATGCGAGGCAGAATGCCTGATCTGATTTTCACGTTTTCTCAGCTCCTATTTATACTCGTTTCAACTATACACTTTCACCATTTCAATCATTCACATCAGTAAAAAACTTATTTAATGTATGTACTACAGTATTATACAGTCTTAACCACAATGCCAACAATACTAAATTGACGTCATCGAACGAACGCCTTCGAACGAACGCCTTCGAAATTTTCTGATTGGCTGGTTGAATCTGCTATATTGCTTTTTATATAAAACATATAATCTTATTAATTATTTGTATACATGGATTCTGGTTACTTTATATATATATATATATATATATATATATATATATATATATATATATATATTGATATATATAGATATATTGATATAATGGCGTCCAAACCTGTTGTCATTAATGAGTTGTTGTATTTTCTAACTAATAATATTGGTTTGTTAGACAATGAAGCATTTGTTTTCAACGTTTCTAAGTTTTATTCTCAAGAAGAAATTGATGGCAGTTTAAAATATTTGAAAAACGAGTTTGAACAGTTTAAAAACGAAATTGTTGATAAATTGAACTTACACGGAACAAACAAGATAGACAAACTGTTGGACTGTATTTCTGTTCTAAAGTGTTTTATATCTAATAATTTGTTGGAAAAATTAGCGGTTTTTGTAAGTAAGGATTTGAATAGGGTTCCAAGATTGGAAAATGTAATTAAAGTTAATTTTGAAAGTTTACGGTGCGAAATTAGCGAATTAATTGTGAAACAACAAGCGTACATATCCAATACACTTGAAATTTTCAAGGAACAATTATCACAGGTGACTGCATTTGATAAACAAATGCATCAGGTAAACGAGAAATTAAATTTAGTGGCGTCGAATTTTAATAAAACAGTTGCTGCCGTAGAAAATACTTCCAATGTTGATTCCATGTTATTTCCACCTTTAAACAACAATATTTCAACTACTGCACGTTTTGTTAACAAAAATAATAAATTGAATAATGATACAACAAGAACTCCAACAAATAATATAAAACCAACGTGGGGTGATAGAGTCGCTATGGATATACCTAGTGATGATAACCAAAGTGACGATAATTTTACTTTAGTCCAACGGAATAAAAATAAAAACAAACCTAGAACATTACCTCTTGTTGTGGCTAAATCAGCGGCTACACTGTCGGTTCAACGTAAACAAAAAATTGATCAGACGAAAAAAGTCATTGGTAGAAAAAACGACTGTTCATCGACCATAAGACCAATGAAAATGGAACCGCGTAAAAAGCTGGTCTACGTCGGCAAGTTGGATCAATGCACTTCTGAAGACGTCATCAATCATCTAAAGTCGATCAACGTTAACGCGATATCTGCTATACCCCTGACTAAATCCATTTTCAACAAAAAAAGTTCAACTAATAATGATAATAATAATAATTCTCAAACTAGTGACTCAAAAACGAGCGCAGCTTTCAGAATTTTGTTTCTTGAAAGTGATCTAGACAAGGTGCTGAACGAGGACAACTGGCCTAACGGTGTCGTCCTTCACGAATGGTGCTTTTTCAACAATCATGTTCAACAATCGGTTTCTAACGCTGTTGCACCATCATCTATTAATGGCTAACTCAGTTTTAACTTCGTTAGACCCGGATGTCAACATTTTCAACAACATCTTCGACGAATCTCTTCTTAAACTACCAGAGGAAGTTAATTCGTTTATTAGTATCCCTAATCCTTTTACAATAATGCACATAAATAGCAGAAGTCTTTTTAATAAGATGTCTGAACTCGCAACTCTCATAAATGTTTGCAATAATTGTTTTTCATTAATATGCGTTACTGAAACCTGGTTGAATGATACAAATGTTAATTTAATTAACTTGCCTGAATTTAATTTTGTGTCAAAAAATCGTGTTTCTTCTTTAGGAGGTGGTGTTGGTATATTTATATCTAGTGTTTTAAAATATATTGTTCGTGATGACCTTTTATTTCCTTCTACATCTTTTGAATTGTTAATTGTTGAACTACTTAATATTGATTCTTATAATTATTTAATTTACGTAATCTATCGCCCTCCGAACACTGATCTAACTTGTTTTATTAATGACTTATCATGTTTACTTTTAAAAATTCCTAAATCATGTAAATGTGTCTATATTTTAGGGGATTTTAATATCAATTTAATTAGTAAGGAAAACAATAATATTAATAATGAATTTGTATATTTGATGAACTCTTTTGGTTTTTATTCATTGATCACCGTTCCAACTCGTGTTACTACTACCACTTCTTCTTTGATTGATAACGTATTTACTAACAATTTAACTATTCATAAATCTGGTGTCATCTGTTCTTCTTTATCAGACCACTTCCCTATTTTTACCTCATTTACAATTGCTAAACCTTTATTGTCATCTAATTCTTTTTCACAATCCTTAAATTTTTGCTCTAATAATATTTGTAAATTAAATTTATTTTTTAAAAATTTCGACTGGTGCCCTTTGTTTAATTGTTGTAATATTGATGAAGCTTTTTCTTTCTTTACCAGCGTTTTTAAAAATGCTGTTACACAATGTTGTTATTCTATAAGACCTTCATTTAAAAGGAAAAAACAACCATGGATAACCAGTGGTTTAATTAAATCCTCAAAAACGAAAAATATTCTGTATAAAAAGTTCTTAAAATCAAAGACCACCACCGATCGTTTGATTTATATTAAATATAAAAATTTGTTTTGTAAGTTATGTAAGGTTTCTGAAAATTTGTACTATTATTATTTGTTTAATAGGGTAAAAAAAAGTGGTAAGAAAACATGGTCTATTTTAAAATCATG